TTAAGTCTACGGCAAACACACATACATATTTAACTACTCTTTCCTCATATTCCACTCTTATCCTTGTATTTCTTACTCTACCACATACTCTCCTACATCCCAAACAACATGACCTCCCATCTTTCCTGACCACATACCCTAACACCGGACCCTCACACGCGTCCGACACGCGCCAAACTTCCGGGAAAATTCCCCAAAAACCCTTTAGGACTACAACGACGCGCTGCGACTACGACGATGCGCGCCACCTGCCCAGCTGACACTCTTGAGTGCCAGCTGGGCAGATGGCGCGCGTCGTCGTAGTCCTCATCTTCACTACTGGCGTTGCAAAGTTTTGGCTGGTTGATATTTTGCAAATGATAATTGGCACGCAATTTTCAATTGACATACGTGTGATGGTATCCCTGGCGGATCGAGTGATATAAAAAATTCTTTTGGATAATTAACCGCTTCATCTGCTTCCTCAACAGTGTCGACGGACTTGTATGTGACTGCCTTGCTTTGAATGTTAAACTGAACAATATTCTTAAGTTCTTGGACGCAAGAATACCTCGTTCATTCAGCCAATCGTGATTCTTATAATTGATTTCAATATTGGGACATACTTAAAAAAAAAATCTTCTTTTGACGTCACTAAGTTGTAGTCGTTATGAGGCAATGAAATTCGTCCTGAGGTCAGATCAACCGGCACGTTTCCGTTCTCAATTTCCAGAAATTGATCTGAGAATATTCCAACTGATGGATCGTTTTGCTGCTAGACACGCATATTTGTAATTAATTTTAACGTCTTTACGTGGCACCACAAAGTAGAGAATTTCAGGCGAGCATTTATTTCGTCCATTGGTGTTGATCGAGGAATTACAGGTAATGTTTGTCTGAAATCTCCTGCAAGCAATATTAATGCATTCCCAAATGGTTTGATGTTTCCATGCAAATCTTGCAGTGATCGATCAACAGCCTCGAACGATTTTGTTTAGCCATTGTGCATTCATCCCAAACAATAAGTTTACATTTGTGCAATGCTTTTCCCATGCTGGATGCTTTGGAAAGCATCCGGCAATTCATTGGGAATTTCAATGAATTGCATGTTCAATGGCAATTTCATAGCCGAAGTAGCAGTTCTTCCACCTGGTAGCAATATCGTAGCTATTCCGGACAATACAAGAGCTAAGGTTATGCCATTTTGGGATCGAAATGATGCCAGAATCAATCTAATTAGCAAGGTTTTACAGTTCCTCCTGGCGCATCTAAAAATATTTCTCCAAACCCGTTATTGACTGTTTGAATACTTTATTG